CCACCTCCACCCAGCACCTCACTCACTGCCCTTGAGATTGCCAATCACTTCAAAAACAAAATTGACACAAAGGACATTGCCGCAACTCACACGCCCTCTCAACCCGTCCCCTCTCACACAGCTACCCCCTTATCCCCCCTCCCCCTCGACATAACCCGCAGGGACTTCGTCACTGCTCAAACTCTCTCCAACCCCCTTCACCCTCACTCAGCTACCCCCTCATCACCTCTCTCCAACAGCCCCCACTGCTCTGACCTCCTCTTCCACCCCACCCTACATTCCTCATACTGAAGCTCCCCCAACACTCCACACCTTTGACCTTACTACCATCGAGGAAGTCTCCAAGATCCTCTCTGATGCCCGCCTCACCACCTGCCCCCTTCGACCCTATCCCCTCACAACTCCTACGACCTTCCTCCTCCTCCATCCTACGCTCCCTCACCAACATCTTCAATCTCTCCCTCTCTCCTCAGGCACTTTCCCCTCCCCTCTGAAACATGCACACATCACCCCCATACTTAAAAAGCCCTCCCTGGACCCCAATGACCCGAACAACCTCAGACCCATCTCCCTGCTCCCATTTACATCTAAACTCCTCGAGCGCCTAGTCTACACCCGCGCCTATGCTCTCACCTCAACGACAACAACCTCCTCGATCCCCTACAGTCCGGCTTCCGTCCCCTACACTCCACCGAAACTGCCTTACTCAAACTCTCCAACGACCTGCTAACCCCCAAAGCTAATGGCCACTATTCAGTGCTCCTACTCCTTGACCTCTCTGCGGCCTTCGACACAGTCGACCACCCCCTTCTCCTCATAAAACTACACTCCCTCGGCCTCAGAGATTCTGTTCTCTCCTGGCTCTCATCCTACCTGTCACAACGCTCCTTCAGCGTTACCTATAATGCTACCACCACTCCCCCTCACTCCCCCTCTCTGTTGGGGTCCCTCAAGGCTCTGTCCTCGGGCCCCTTCTCTTCTCCATCTATACCTCCTCCCTTGGCCAACTCATACACTCTCACGGCTTCAACTACCACCTCTATGCCGACGACACACACAAATCTATCTCTCAACCCCCCACCTCACCCCCTTGGTCTCAGCCCGAATCACACACCTACTGAGCGACATATCAGACTGGATGTCGCTCCACTTCCTTAAATTGAACCTCTCCAAAACTGAGTTTCTTGTCTTCCCCCCAGCCCGGACACCACCCCCCATTGATTTCTCCATCACATCCAACAACGCTACCATCAAACCCGCCCTGCAGGCCAGAGTACTGGGTGTCATTCTGGACTCCAACCTATCCTTCCAGCCCCAAGTCCAATCTTTAACTAACTCGTGCAGACTCCACCTCCGCAACATGCAGACTCCACCTCCGCAACATGCAGACTCCACCTCCGCAACATCGCCAAAATCCGCACGTTCCTAACCCCAGAAACCACTAAACAGCTCATCCACTCACTCATCATATCACGACTCGACTACTGCAACTCCCTCCTCACTGGCCTGCCTCGCCGCTGGCTATCCCCTCTTCAGTCCATCCTGAACACGGCTGCCAGACTCATTCACCTTTCCAACCGCACTGTCTCCGCCACCCCCCTCTGCCAATCCCTCCACTGGCCTCCACTCAGTGTCCTCCACCCCCCTCTGCCAATCCCTCCACTGGCTTCCGATTGCGCAACGGATCAAATTCAAAATCCTAACGCTGACGTACAAAGCCGTCCACCATACTGCCCCGAACTACATCACTGACCTAATATACAAGTACCGCCCAGCACGCACACACTCCGCTCCTCACAAGACCTCCTTCTCTCTAGTTCCCTGGTCTCCTTCTCCCATGCCCGCCTCCAGGACTTCTCCAGGGTGTCACCCATCCTCTGGAACTCCCTGCCCCAACCCATCAGATTATCACCTACTCTCCTCTCCTTTAGGCGCACCCTGAAAACCCATCTCTTCAGGGAAGCCTACCCCACCCCCTGCTAACTTGCCGACCTCCTCCACTCTTCCTACCACTCCATCCCCCACAGCTATCTCCTCCTGTGCCACCACCCCCCCCTCCTAGATTTGTAAGCTCGAAAGAGCAGGGCCCTCGATCCCCTCATGTTTTGCATTGTATTGGTATTGTTCTGTCACATGTTCTGTCTCCCTTTTGTAATGTACAGCGCTGAGCCAACTATCGGCGCTTTATAAATACTGTATAATAATAATATTGATTGCTTTGTGTGAAGTTATAGCGTCTACAAACTATGGGAGAGATACTGCAATTTACGCCATTTTTTTTCTATACAGCGCTGCGCTAGGTTAACGGACAATTGCGCGGTCATGCAATATGGTACATAAATGAAATTTACATCCTTTTTTTTCCACAAATGGAGCTTCCTTTCGGTGGTATTTGATCGCCTGTGCGGTTTTTATTTTTTGCGCTATAAAAAAAAAGGCTGACAATTTTGAGGAAAAACAAACAATATTTTGTACAAAACATGTCCAGTAAAAAAAATGTAAAAATCAAATTTCGTCATAAATTTCTGCCAAAATGCCGTTTACAAATGGCGGGAAAGATACTGGGATCTTTAATTTTTTTTTTATACTAATAATGGCGGCGATCAGCGACTTATGGCAGTGATCAGTGACTTATGGCGGGACTGTGGGACTGCGGCGGACATTCTGACACTGGGGGGGACCTGACTTGGGGTCACTGACATCCCCAGTGACACCAATACAGTGATCAGTGCAAAAAAAAAAAACACTGACACTGTACTAATGGCACTGGGGAGGAAGGGGTTAACTTTTTTATTTACTGAAAGGGTTAACGGTGTGAGGGGCGTGTTTTACTAGGGAGCGGGGGTGGACTGCACGGGAACACGCTGATCCGGAGAGATAAACTCTTCTCTCCGGATCAGCGTTGTCAGGAGCTGACAGGGGACTGACAGAAAGCACGGCTGCAGTGTAAACACTGCAGCCATCCTCTCTGTCAGTGATTGCCGCTAATCGCCGGGACATGGTAGGTAATGGCGGGACGGGTAGGGCGGGCACACGCCTCGCGCGCCCCCTACCTGTTTTGCAAGCGCACTTTTTAAAACGCGGTTTTGCCCAGCCGTGCCGACCTGCCACCGTATTTCTACAGTGGCTGGTCGGCAAGAAGTTAAACAATGAAAACCCCCTTATAATAGGAGTAGTAATCATACAAGTGATGAGAGTCAAGATGACCAAACAATCAATCACACAAAAATATATAAAGTCTCTATCAGTCCATGAACAATTAAAGAATGGTATTTTCAAACAGCAATATATCATGCAATGTGACCAAGGTGAGGATATCTGTGATAGTGTCAGCACACGTATCCTCAATGGCTTAGATTGCCCCCTCACCTCCTTTAGGTGACCCAATGGGCCCCTTCGCTTTCAGGATCACTCCTGGATCCTACTCCATTCCTGGTTGGTAGTATTCCACCTGTGGTCCCTCTCTCAGGTGTTACATTGGACACTCCAGTCCTCTCAGGTATATCTGCTAAATATGTTTCTCACCAAAAGCCATGGTGAGAAAGTAAGAGATCCTCCATAGTGTAGTAATTAAATGTATAAATCTCCTTTATTAATTGTAAAAAGTGCCCACTCACGTTTATAACAGCATAAACACACTTTCTAACCACATGCCTGGGTGTACTGTACAGGGATATCTGGGTGTTCCAATATGGTGTCCAACGCCGGATGTGCGTCACCGTGCACCGGAAGCTGCGTCACGGCGTACCTACGCGTTACGTCACTAAACCTCGTGACTTCCTCTGGGTATTAAAAGTTCATGGAATTTTCACTATTTTGTTTTACATACTGTCACCAGTCAGTGTCCCTGATCACCGCCATGCCAGTTATATGATGACGCTGTACTGCACTGGTGACAGTATGTAAAACAAAATAGTGAAAATAATTTTTTTTAATTTTTTCATTTTCCGAAAAATTATGACAAAAAAATACAACTTCAAAAAACTCGCCATTCCTCTTATGAAGTACGTCGGACTGTCTACTCTGCAAAAAGGGGTCATTTGGGGGATATCTGTACTGTTCTAACATTTGGGGGATATCTGTACTGTCCTGACATTTGGGGGATATCTGTACCGTCCTGACATTTGGGGGATATCTGTTCTGTCCTGACATTTGGGGGATATCTGTTCTGTCCTGACATTTGGGGGATATCTGTACCGTCCTGACATTTGGGGGATATCTGTACTGTCCTGACATTTGGGGGATATCTGTACTGTGCTGACATTTGGGGGATATCTGTACCATCCTGACATTTGGGGGATATCTGTACTGTCCTGACATTTGGGGGATATCTGTACTGTGCTGACATTTGGGGGATATCTGTACCGTCCTGACATTTGGGGGATATCTGTTCTGTCCTGACATTTGGGGGATATCTGTACCGTCCTGACATTTGGGGGATATCTGTACTGTGCTGACATTTGGGGGGATATCTGTACCATCCTGAGTACCGTCCTGACATTTGGGGGATATCTGTTCTGTCCTGACATTTGGGGGATATATGTACCATTCTGACATTTGGGGGGATATATCTGTACCGTCCTGACATTTGGGGGATATCTGTTCTGTCCTGACATTTGGGGGATATATGTACCATTCTGACATTTGGGGGATATCTGTACTGTCCTGACATTTGGGGGATATCTGTACCGTCCTGACATTTGGGGGATATCTGTACCGTCCTGACATTTGGGGGATATCTGTACCGTCCTGACATTTGGGGGATATCTGTACTGTCCTGACATTTGGGGGATATCTGTACCTTTCTGACATTTGGGGGGATATCTGTACCTTTCTGACATTTGGGGGGATATCTGTACCGTTCTGACTAGAGATGAGCGAATTATTCAAAAATTCGATTCGGCTGATTCGGCGAATTCGTGGAATAAATTTGATTTGAGTCGAATATATTCGCTGCAAATTTAACTTATAAAAGGGTGTTTCTAGGCTTCAGAGAGCCTTTATATTAGTGCAGAACACTGTACCTTTAATTTAAATGCCCTTGGAGTCTGCTGGGGAAGAGAAATAATACTGTCAGTCAGTATGACATGCAGATGAGTGCCGTCGATCTTAGAATCACCGCACACTTCACTCATTTGGCCAGTCACGGGGCCAAAACCAGAGTGTGGAGCCACAGTGTGGCGGTGGAGGCAGCAGCAATGGGAGGCCATACAGCACCCTATGACAAAATGGAACCCACCAGCAGTGTGAGGAGACCTGAAATTGGCACATGGCAGAGTGTGGCGATGGAGACAGCAGCAATGGGAGGCCGTACAGGGACCCATGACACACTCTGGACCTGGCAGCAGCATGAGGAGGCGGTACAGGGGCCCATGACAGATTACGGGCCTGGCAGCAGCATGAGGAGTCGGTACGGGGGCCATGGCAGATTACGGGCCTGGCAGCAGCAATGGGAGGCCCGTAATCTGCCAGCACCCTATGACAAAATGGAACCCACCAGCAGTGTGAGGAGACCTGAAAGTGGCACATGGCAGAGTGTGGCGATGGAGACAGCAGCAATGGGAGGCCGTACAGGGACCCATGACACACTCTGGACCTGGCAGCAGCAAGAGGAGGCGGTACAGGGGCCCATGGCAGAGTGGCGAAGCGTAAGCAGCTTAAATTGAAGGCCATACAGAGGCCTAGGTTAAAAATAATAACATGTTTGGGGCATGATTCATGGCGGATTTAGTCAGTTGTCAGTTGTGTCAGGAACTGGTGGTTTGAAATCCAGACTAATCCACGCCTGATTCATTTTCACAAACGTGAGTCTCTCCACATTTTGGGTGGACAGTCATGTCCTCCGCGGAGTTACAATACCTCCTGCTAAACACGTGCTCCGATGCCACGCTACTGGCCGGGCATGACAGCCTTTCAAGGGCAAATTCAGCTAGTTGGGGCCAAAGGGTCAAGTTTCGTTGCCCAGTAGTCAAGGGGATTGTCTACCTCGGTTGGCAGGGTGCTGTCCAAGTAGGCCCAAGCCTGTTGTTTGAGGTCCTGCTCCAGGTCCACCTGATGCTGCTGCTGCTGCGGCTGGTTAGTAGTTTCCTCACTGCGCTGGTGAAGAAAGCTACTCATCATCGACTGCAGACTGAGGCAGCCGCTGCTGGTGGAGCTGCCACTGCTCCTACCACCCCACCCCTCCCCTGCTGCCATGGCAGCGGAAAGCGAGCGCACAGGGCCCACAGTGTCTGAGGATGGACGTTGGCGCAGAAAGGCAGAGACCAACTGACTACATAGGTGGTTTTTATAGTACGTTATTTTGACCTCCCTCTCAGCAGGTGTGAAAAAGGCCACCATTTTTGAACGGTAGCGAGGGTCCAACAAGGTGGACAGCCAAAAGTCATCCCTCTGTCTGATGGTTATTATTTGGCTGTCGCTACGCAAGCAACCGAGCATGCTATGGGCCATTTGTGCCAAGGAATGCGAGGCACTCCCTGCCTCCATCTCCACAGCATACTGCCACGGTGCGTCTGGGTCCTCTGTCTCCTCCTCCTCCTCTACCAGATGCTCCTGCTCCTCCACTCCTGTCCGCTGAGTGGAAAAACCACCCATTTCACTCAATAATTCCTGAGCACCAATGTCCTCCTCTACCTCCTCCTCTTCTTCCTGTCCTGCCCCCACAGGGGTCATGTGGCGTTGAGATCTGTGCGCCACGTCTACCGCACCCTGACCAGCCATTGTTAACAGCATTTGTTCCAGGACGTGCAACAGAGGAATGACGTCGTTCATCCCATAGTCCTGCCGACTCACGAATAGCGTGGCCTCCTCAAAGGGCCTGAGCAAGCGGCAGGTGTCACGCATGAGCTGCCAATGGCTGACATCTAAGTTACACAGGGGAGTACCTTTATCCGCTTGTAACATCAGGAAATCGGTGATGGCCTTTCGCTGTTCGTAAAGGCGGTCTAACATATGTAGGGTTGAATTCACCTTGTTGCAACGTTGCAGATCAGGCGATGCTGTGGAATTCCGTTCTGCCGCTGCAGCTCAAGGAGGGTGTGCTTTGCGGTGTAGGAATGGCTGAAATGCATGCAAAGTTTACGTGACATTTTAAGGATGTCTTGCAGTGGGATGGTGGATTTTAGGAACCGCTTGACAACCAGATTGAACACGTGAGCCATGCATGGCGCATGGCACAACCTTCCTTGAGGCAGAGCAGACACCATGTTCTTTCCGTTGTCGGTCAACATGGTTCCGATTTTCAGTTTGCGCGGAGACAGCCATCTGTCGATTTCTCTGTTCATTACACTCAGAAGTTCCTCCCCTGTGTGACTACGTTCGCCAAGGCATACCAGGTGCAGCACAGCGTGACACCGTTGCGCCCTGCATATGTGATATGCCGGTCGGGTAATGGGACTTGGCACGGGGGTGGCGGCTGAGGACACGGCGGAAGAAGAGGTGGTAGAGGCGGACATCTTTGCCGGACCAAGGACGTGCAAACGTGGAGGCAAAAGCGGCGTGACATGTCCAAGTTGCTGGTGCGGCTGTGCCGGCACCACGTTCACCCAGTGGGCCGTAAATGACATGTACTGTCCCTGACCGTAGTTACAGCTCCACACGTCGGTGCTGCTGCCGTGCACTTTGGCAGAGACCGACATGCTCAAAGACTGGCCCACCATGTCTTCTACATGTGAATGCAGGGCTGGCACTGCCTTTTTGGATTGCGAAGAAATGCCGGCTTGGCACTCTCCACCCGCGGCGCGGCACAAGCCATCATTTTTCTCGGAAAGGCGCTGAGTCCACCACTTGGAAGGGAGGGACTGCAGCACCAGCAACTTGGACAGGAGGACGTTCAGCTTCTGCACCGTCGGGTGTGCTGCTCGCAAACTGTTGTCTCTTGGAAACGGATTCCAAGAAAGACTGCTGACGGAATCCGTGAAGAGGAGTAGCAGGAGAAGGAGCATCTGAACGAGCGGAAGATGCCAACGAGCGACAACTCCCCTCAGCAGAGGTGTTGGAGCCTTGACTGGCTGATAGAGGGCGATTGACGTCGGGTGACGGAGCAAGTAACGGAGCGGGTGATGGAGCGGGGGCTGGGGCAGGCAGAACCGCCGTATCTTTATCACGGTTTTCCCAGGCCACCGAATGGCGACGCTGCATATGCTGACGCAACGCTGTAGTCCCAACATGGGCCCCCTGGCCACGCTTGACTTTCTGGCCACATAGTCGACATACGGCTACGTTTACTTCCTCGGGCGGCTTGACGAAAAATTGCCACACCGCCGAGTAGGAAACTTTGCCCCCGCTACTCCTCACTGGCTGACTGCTACTTCCTCCGTGCACACCGGCACCACTACTGGCCGTGGTGGTAGGCTGCAGTGGAGCTGGTGCTCTACTCCGTGGCCGTTTGCCTCCACTGACACTGCTGCGACCCTGCTGCCTCCCTGGGCAACCCACCGACTGTTTTTGCTCGCTGCCAAGCTGGCACCCTCTTCTCCTGATGATGCGGAAGCAATAGCCTGATGACGACGAGGCTGCCAAGTGCGATCAGCCTCATCATCATCAATTAGGGTCTCCGCCTCACTACTAGCCCCCTCGGCTGCGTGTGGGTCAGGAGACAGACCTGTCTCTAGACCGGCTACCGAGCCACTCTCCTCGCCAGTACTTCTTCGCCTGGCTGCTGAAGAGGCGGATGTCTCCCCCCGTTCCTGACCGCCCTCTGTTAGCTCTTCCTCACTGTACAGTGGGGCTGAGCCCACAGCATGCGATACTTCGCTTGGTGAGGGAACACCAAAGGACAGGGGCAGGTAGAGGACACGTGATTTCAGTGGGCTTGCTCCCGGGCCATGCCAACTAACGGTTGTGTCTGACGTACCCACCGACCGTTGGCTGTAGGTGTCAGAGGTGACCTGGGAAGAGGAAGACGACCGAGCCAACCAATCGATGACGGCAGGGTTGTCGGTGGAGACACGACCGCTGGATGACACCGGGAGCACTGGCCTCTGGCTGCGACTAGTGCTGCCTCGACCCCTTCCTCTGCTGCCACGTCTGCTCGCTCCTAAAACATTGCCTCCTCTGCCACTCCTCTGCGTGTTGTCTGACATACTCTTTAATTCAACAATTCTGTGTCCCTGAGTAACGATTCTGTGTCCCTGAGTAACAATTCTGTGTCCCTGAGTAACAATTCTGTGTCCCTCAGTAACGATTCTGTGTCCCTCAGTAACACGATTCTTCTGTAACGATTCTGTGTCCCTCAGTAACGATTCTGTGTCCCTGAGTAACAATTCTGTGTCCCTGAGTAACAATTCTGTGTCCCTGAGTAACGATTCTGTGTCCCTGAGTAACGATTCTGTGTCCCTGAGTAAACAATTCTGTGTCCCTGAGTAACAATTCTGTGTCCCTGAGTAACAATTCTGTGTCCCTGAGTAACGATTCTGTGTCCCTGAGTAACGAATTCTGTGTCCCTGAGTAACGATTCTGTGTCCCTGAGTAACAATTCTGTGTCCCTGAGTAACAATTCTGTGTCCCTGATAAACGTAGTAACGATTCTGTGTCCCTGAGTAACGAATTCTGTGTCCCTGAGTAACAATTCTGTGTCCCTGAGTAACAATTCTGTGTCCCTCAGTAACAATTCTGTGTCCCTGAGTAACGATTCTGTGTCCCTGAGTAACGTAACATTCTGTGTCCCTGAGTAACAATTCTGTGTCTGTCCCTGAGTAACCATTCTGTGTCCCTGAGTAACAATTCTGTGTCCCTGAGTAACGATTCTGTGTCCCTGAGTAACAATTCTGTGTCCCTGAGTAACAATTCTGTGTCCCTGAGTAACGATTCTGTGTCCCTCAGTAACGTGTCCCTGATTCTGTGTCCCTGAGTAACAATTCTGTGTCCCTGAGTAACAATTCTGTGTCCCTGAGTAACAATTCTGTGTCCCTGAGTAACAATTCTGTGTCCCTGAGTAACAATTCTGTGTCCCTGAGTAACAATTCTGTGTCCCTGAGTAACGATTCTGTGTCCCTGAGTAACAATTCTGTGTCCCTGAGTAACATTCTGTGTCCCTGAGTAACAATTCTGTGTCCCTGAGTAACAATTCTGTGTCCCTGAGTAACAATTCTGTGTCTGTCCCTGAGTAACAATTCTGTGTCCCTGAGTAACAATTCTGTGTCCCCTGAGTAACAATTCTGTGTCCCTGAGTAACAATTCTGTGTCCCTCAGTAACAATTCTGTGTCCCTGAGTAACAATTCTGTGTCCCTGAGTAACAATTCTGTGTCCCTGAGTAACGATTCTGTGTCCCTCTGAGTAACAATTCTGTGTCCCTGAGTAACAATTCTGTGTCCCTCAGTAACAATTCTGTGTCCCTGAGTAACAATTCTGTGTCTGTCCCTGAGTAACAATTCTGTGTCCCTGAGTAACAATTCTGTGTCCCTGAGTAACAATTCTGTGTCCCTCAGTAACGATTCTGTGTCCCTGAGTAACGATTCTGTGTCCCTCAGTAACGATTCTGTGTCCCTGAGTAACAATTCTGTGTCCCTGAGTAACAATTCTGTGTCTGTCCCTGAGTAACAATTCTGTGTCCCTGAGTAACAATTCTGTGTCCCTGAGAGTAACAATTCTGTGTCCCTGAGTAACGATTCTGTGTCCCTCAGTAACAATTC